TAAAAAATGATTGAACCATTGACCTTACTTATTTGGCGATTAGTTTGGGCAGTGAATGGCCTCCCTTGATGAATTAGTTACCCGCTATCATTATCAGTAAAAATAAAAATTTTAAAAAAAATCTCGCGGAATTCGCATCAGGCCATAAACAGGATAGCGTGCCATCATTGGCGATGGTCGATTTTCGACGGCGCGTTCTCGGCAGGGTACCGCGGCCAGCGAAATGGTCCCAGTAGCTCTCCACCTGAGTCGGGGCTCTTCAAAGGAGAGATAATGGTCCGATCGACGGTCCGAATGTGCCGCCGGAAAGGCCGATATCGTCGGGACGGCGATAATTATAACCATTTGGCGTCGTCGGTAGCGAGCAGCCCGGCTTCCAGGGGGATAAACGTCTCCGGTGGTAATGAGGCGAAACCCGGTCGGGATTGGGAGACAGATTCAAGGAGGCGCCATTGGTACTTGGGTCAGAAGATTGCCGCGTCGCTACGATGAAAGCGAAAACTTTTCCCCGTCCGTGACAAAGGCGCCGAAGGTGGCCCGAACCCTTTTGTCGCTGCTCTGCAATGCTCCTGCGTCCTTCTCCGCTGCAACGAGGACGAGAAATAACTGTATTTCAAACGCAGTCTCGGCAGACGACGCCGCGGCGCGCTCCGTCGCGCGGCTGCGTCCGAAATTTCAGCCTCCGGGTTGACAAGCGCTATGGAGGCGAGAGAGACGGCGATCTTCTTCTTCTTCTCGGATTCCCCCTCACGCAGCCCTCCTTCCCACCAGGCAGCGGGGCCCCGCCTGGATTGTGCGTCCGTGTGTGTGTGTGTGTGTGTGAGTGTGCGTCCGTGTCCGTGTGTGTATGTGTGTGTGTGTGTCTGTGTGTGAGTGAGTGAACGTGTGTGCGTGCACCCCTCCCCGGCGTGCTCCTTGCCGCCCTACCGCCGCCTCGGGCGTCCGAGAGCTTGCCGCACATTTTATGGGCTTGGCTCGCGATAGAATTGATTTATAGAGCAAAAGCCGCCGTCGCAGGATGAAAACAACACGACCGCAGCGCGGCGGCGCAGCGGCACAGCGACGCCGTGTAGCGCCTTGCGAGAGACGATGGCATCTAATCACCGCGGAAGAAGCCGTTTTTCAGGAAAATGGAAATGTCGGTTCGTGCGGGAGGAAAGTTTAGAAAAAAATAATCCGGGAAAGTCCCATTTTACTCTAAGAGGCCGACTTCCGAAACGGTTCGCTCGCCTTTACACCGCCGTCCTTGAAATCGGAAGTAAGAAACTACATCTCTTTCCAACTTCCAACTCATTTTGAAGCGGGTCATTAGTGAAAACGACGTCGGCTTTCTTTTTACCGCGCTAATATTCCCGCCATTTTTTTTCGGGCCGCTTGAACGACAGGGGCAGCCGGTCGTAACCGCTCCGCGTGGCCTACACTAGACCGCGGGCAAAAACTTTTCAAACACGTCATGCTTAGCAAACTTGCAGCGAGACAACAACAACAATGTAAGTGAGTAATTGCGCCGGCAAAAGCTTTCAGCCAAAATGAGAGCCAATTATGCCCCTGCAACAATGGAATAATGTTGTGGTTAGAGGTGGAAAAAAGGGAGGGGGGGCGTCCCGTCTATGGCGGCTCGCTCGACGGCGGCCTGCGTACGAACTATCCAAGTATGTGTGGCCGTTTTCTTGGAAACGGATATTTTTCCTCAAACCTGTTACGGAATTTGAGCTGAGCTGCTGCTGCTTCTCGTTCTTGAGCTTCTGCCACTCGTGTGTGAGCTGCGTGCGTGTGTTGTGTGTGTGTGTGTGTGTGTGTGTGTGTGTGTCTGTGTGTGAGGCATGGGTGGGGCGAATGAAGGGGGATGACCCAAAAAGTCAAGGGTGCGATGTAAATGGAGCATCACCATTACGGCGATGTGTGTGGTGCCCTTTGCCTGTCCCTGCGAAGAAGAAAGTCAAGATGATTTTGGAGCGAATGTTGCGTGTCGGATCGCATGACGGTCGCACGACGTCGCACGACACAGGTAGAAGCGCTGTAACTCAGAGCCGGACAAGAAAAGAATGTCACCTTATTTTTTTTTCCGTGCAGTTGCACCTTTCTGGCCGTGGAGCGCGACGCGGACCGCTCAATGCCGGGGCCGGGGAACGCAGTTCGTGTCCAATCCCTTCGTGCTCTCCAAGTCGCACTTTCTCAAATCACCGCGCTGCGAAGTGACAAACGCGTTGGTTTTGCGGACGAAAAGAAACAATCAAACACGTTCCGTACCGCGCGTGTGGCGAAATTTCGTTGTGTGCGTCTCCACGCCGCCGCCCCCTGTTGCTGTGGCACTGCACAGCCGTGGCACTGCGCGCGCTTTATGATTGAGGCCCCACCTCGACGGCTGCCAAGTACATGGCGGGGCGCTTGCAGCTAACATTTACGTAGGAAATCTCAGCCTTATAACAATTTCCGCCGCCACGCTGCGCCCCGGCCGGCGGGCCCCGCCCCGCCACGCTCCGCCTATGAAGTCACCCGTAAGGCGCAACGGCCGAGCAGCCCCGGTAACGGAGTAACGGAGTTGCGAATGGGGCGGTGCCGAGTCCGAAGGGCTCTTGGCGTGCTTGCCGCACCCCCCCTCTCCCCTCCCACGCTATTCTTTATCTGCCCTGCCAGCGCGCCGCCCCGCGCGCCCCGCGCCGTGGGGGTGGTGGCGCTCCGGGGAGGCAGGGCGGGGCGGGGCGGGGAGGCGGGGTGGAAGGGCGGGGCGCGCAGGGCGCGGGGCCCTCGGTGGGCCGCTTGGTATTCCATGCGCACCGATCGTAGGGCCGATACGTGCTTCCACCCCTAGCACGGCGTGCACGGCGTGCAGGGATCGTGCCAAGCCGCGCTGTTCTGGGGCCGCGGCGGCAGGGCGGGGTGGCCAGGGCGGGGTGGCCAGGGCGGGGTGGGGTGCCCGTCGCGGCGGATTTGGCCGTGGCCCTGCTTGCTTGCAGCATGGCGTCGCGACGCGCCCCGCGACTCCGCGACTCCGCGTGCTCGCCGCCGAGGTCCTCAGCCTGCTCCACGGAGGAACGCCCGCGGACCTCCGGTCCTGCAGAAGCAGTGGGGACATCCCGGACGAAATTCTCCGCCCAGACACGACCGGCCGGCGACTCAGGCGGATAAAATGTTGTCGCGGACAGCAAAGCCGACCGGATCTGAGCGAGCGAGACGGCCAGAAGGAGAGAGGCACGTTGAAAATGGCGGTGCTGTATACCCGCTAATGGGTTCGGCGTCAGGTGAGGCCGGCCCCTTCCCCCTTCTCCTTCGAGCCTCCCCCCTCCCCTGCCGCCGCCTCCGCTGGGGCCCATGAATCAAAGTGTCAAAGGTCGGGTCCGTCCACCACCAACTGCAACCCGCTGCTTCCCACCCTCGGATACGATTCTCTCTCTCTCGCTCGCTCCTCCCGCTGCTGCGGGTGACGGCTCCCAGGGTGGCCGGCAGTGATGATGGAAAGCCTAGGCTGCAACGCCCACACTGGGACCCCGCGCGATGACAACAACATGCACGGAGCTCCGCTAGCGGCCCGCCCCCACCCGCATGCCATACCCTGCGAAAAGAGAAGCGGGATAAGCCGCATTCGTCACGAGGATGCCCGTCCCGCCGTTCCCACGAAGCAGACGACAGTTCGACTGCCATCCGAACTCGACTTGCAAGGTAGCCGGCCACGCTGACCAGGTAATGGCCTCTGAGCGCTCGCTACGATCGCAAAGTTTCCGTTTCATTTTTTCGAGACTGCTCTCCTTGTCCCTCCGATTCCCCGGCCGCGCGCGCATCGGAATAATTTGGTAGTAAACTCGAGCGTAACTGCGGCTGCTAACGTCCCTCGGCCGCTTGTCTCACACCTTCCGAGGAGTGCCCGTGAAATGTCTATCTCTCCGCTTTGTTCCGAAAGAAGCCATTTTTCTGACACTTGGTAAAAAGATGCAAATTACGGTGGCAAAGAAGGAACCGGGGGACCAAGCCTGCGCGGCCCGAAAAGAACCAAATGGGAAAAAAGATTTGCAGTGACGCACTGAAGTTAGGCGAGGGGACCTGTAGAGGTGAGTGAGGGTTTGAAAGAGGTACGGCCACCAGGGCACCGGCCTGGGCTCCCAGGACGGGTCAGGTTTCGAGATTTCGGGGAGCCGCCCTCGGAGGTGCACCAATAGGAGTCATGGAATGTCGGTCCCAGGTAAACTTTCTCTCTCTCTCTTTCATCTTCTCGGGCGTGCAGGTGTCGGATCGGCCATTATAAACGCACGCATTCAAAACGCACCTCTGGCACTGTAGAGCCCACTGATGTGCGAGGGGGCGTGGTGAAAACGGAAAGGAAGCATTTCGGTGCAATCGATTTTCGGGGCTGTCTGGCGCGGCCGGCCCGCCGCTGCCTTACGCCCGTTCGTCGGGGCCCGTTCTGCGTGTCATGTTTTAATGGAACCCGTGGCCCGCTTCTTTGAAAACGATGTCCCCAAAGATGCGTGCGCGCCGTACGTACAGGTTTACGAGCCCCAGGCCATGATAGGGATTCATTATTTGCAGGCAAAGTGTTCTTCCCCCTCTCATCTGTATGCAAATCGCGGTCCCAGCCCCGGCAAGAAACTCTCCACTGTTCACGGAAACAGCGAGTGACAGTTTTTTCGGCGTAAAGGCCTTGCGTGTCGGCAAGTTTTAATTCCCACCCTGTCCACCTAGGTGGACTTGACTGGAGTGAGAAGCTACGCAAGGCATACGAGTAAACGAGAGCAAGGGAAGTGAGTCGGTTAGGAATGCTGGAAGACACTTCCAGGCCTGCCCTCACAACACGACTGCGTTCGAGGGTGACCCTCAGTCTTTGTAAGAAGAGAGAGGGAGGGCGTGGAGTCTCCCCGGAGACAGTCCGGGATAGCAGTGGGTGGGCGCGGGCCATGACGAACAGAATCCAACTCGTTCATTTTATCGATCAGAGTCGCTGGGAATACAAGGCCGTTGCAGGAGATCAGGTTGCATTTTCACAAAAAAATATTCTGACGACAAAATTCTGAAGTTTATAAATTCTTTATTTACACAAAAAGTCGACTAAAGCTAATGTCTCGTTTACTTCTTCACTGTATTTCCATGACATAACATCAATGCATTAATTTTCCAAACTAAACATAAGAAACATTTTTGCATCGAAAGATATATTGAACTGCACCACTCATAAAACATAAAAATACATAAGAGACACATCACACTGATTTAACAAACACAAAACTTAAAGCACAACGCCCCTTGGTGTGTAATGTCTAAATAAACTATTAACAGTTGCCGAAAAGAATGACTACACGTGTCGCATGGATTACTACCGGTACGTGAAGCCTCGAAAAAAGAACACACTCTATTTCGTCTTTTTCATTACAATAATACGTTTTTCAAAAGAAGATAAGGAGCTGTGTTGCAAGTTTTGGCGTTGAACCTACTCGCTATATCACAAATAAAATCATTATGCAAAACCAACAAAATGAGAAAATACTGTCCACAAAACTCCCCAAACCAGGGAAGCGCACCTCAGCACAGGTTATAGCATTTCTAATCAGTCATGTATCCGCGTAATAGACAAAGTCGGTGTAGCCACCTTGGAAAGTTTTTCGCATCAAAATAGAGAAACAACAATTTCATGAAAAGACCGCATTGTCGACAGCCGTATCAAAAGAAAGGACTGACGATAAAAATGGCGCGTGAGTCCGCTACGAGACACATTTAGTACATGTTAACCAGTCCGCACTAGAATAATCAGGGCGTTAAAGCGAGTAGTATGGGATAATCGCTTCCAAAGGAAATTCAGCAAGAAGGTTTTCAGGGTAGATTGTACTATAACGTTAATTTCATTTTGTGCTACATAAATGAATATCTAACAGAAAGAGAAACAATATAAATATAAAACAGAGATCAAAGCCTCTACGAAGAAGTAAATTAACGTTTCTTGATGCATTGCAATTAATTATAAATTATTTATTCTAGTTTTTGTTCTATTTCTAGGAAAGGTCCTACCCTGACACCAAATTACGTATAATTTGCTACTCATATATCACTTTGTCAACTCGGCATTTTGCCTCCATAGTTGGTTTATGAATGGACAGTTTACAGCAAAGTTCATTATACCTAGAAGGCCTGATTTAACAGCAAAGGTGCCAACTTAAGTAAAACCGTTCTAGGTGTGCCTGGTACGCTCTCCATATATTGTAGATCATTTAATACCAGACAAGTGCTTTCATTGACCTTTACTTCGGACGTTTTATCACAATGTGTTAAAAGTATTGCGACAACGAAAAAGCTCTTGAATTCATAGGAATTATGGAGATAATAATTACATTGGCACAAAGAAATAGTTATATTCGCCTTTTTGTGTAACATTGCCTAAAGTTAAAGGAACAATCACAACGACAATTTTGGACTTTTAGTTTGTCAGAGCGGAGTAGGTGGACTCTTACTGAGACACAAATGTAACTAAGTCATACTTGAAAACCTAATAGATAATGGATACATTGCGGAGCACAGTCGCTCGTGTGAAATTTCTTGCCATGTTGCCCTAGCTATTCCACGTGATAAATTTTACGCAATGCATCTTTGCAAGGGTTGCACGGGAAACTTAAAGTTTCCATTTACTTACAAGAAACTTTTACTAGAAATTGGCACATGCATTCTCAAGCCGCCCTTTTGCACACTTGAAAATTTTCAAAAGAGCCTCGGAATTGAAAAGGAATGTATTTTAAAAAGAGAAGGCTCCATGGCAAGAAAATTCGAATGAGCTTGGAAACTTACACGACCTTAAAATCTATTTTAGGTAGTTAAATGATCAACTTGGCCTACACAAGAATCACAAAACAACGAAAAACGGTCCAATGACAAAGAAACAAAACATATATTTTAATCTGCAACATATTCCAGCAATCAAAACGGAGCACAATCAGCTTGCACGAAATTTAAACAAACATACTGGGTATGACATATGAAAATGAGCTTCCAAAGAGAAAGATGCGCTCAAAACATTTAAATATTCACTCTTTACTAACAATAACTCATAAGAAATAATAAGTTCTCCGTAAATTAATAATGGCAGTTAGTATCAAATTCTAGACTGATCCATAGTTATATTCATAACCAAAAAAAAAGACAAAAAAATATTTAAAAATAACAAGTAACAAAATACGTATTAAAATCACATCATAAAACAAGTTAGCAACAAGAGTGTCTCTCAGCTATTTACGCAGACCTAAAGGTCAGCAGTGATCTGGAGCATCATGTCACACCACGCTCTATAGCATGGTCACAAATTCTTACTACAATACAGAAATACACATACGCACGCACACATGCTCTCACTTACATATCAAAAAAGATTGCACGAAGGAAATGCTTAGTTGCAAGACGCTAACTTCACGCCTGATTAAGGTTTTTTGAAACAAAATGCTGGGAATGCTCCACAGGAAAATGCGGCATAAGTTTACGTATCGAAAATTTTACCTAGGGCTGCTAAGAGTACACAATTCTTTTTTATTTCAGGTAACAATAAATGGCATTTGTAAAGTATTCTTTAGAGTGTTCGCGACTTCACAATCGGTTCCCCTTCATCACATTGCATGTGGCTGCCTGCCAACAGTTTCTCTTTTTTAGATGATTTCGTGCGAAAATAAATGAGTTAGCCTCTTTTAGAGGACCTATGGAAATTTCGAAAATCTCTTAACCAAGAAAGAAGATCGGTTTGCAGGGTAGTATAAGACCCCCTCACCATAATTTAGGCCAGCATCAAAATAGTTACGTATAGGGTAAAGGCAAGAGTTTGGACCCGCTTTACGTTAGCAAAACACTCGCAGTGTATTTACTTTCTGTGGGGCAACCGTTGAAAATATGTCACTTTCGAACACGGGACGTAAAGAGGGTGATATTTACAAACACGTTGCGTGTAGAAGGGCAACTTCTCTTACGTCATGATAGGACTTACAGCAATAATATTATGAATAATTTTACGTATTTGTTTAGGCATAAGGGATAACTGAGTTTCTATGTGGGCACTTTGCTCACTGCTTTGAGGAGATCTGCTCCCGGAACTCCCATTTTGTCCCCAAGTCCCCCAAGCAGCTTGCTATGGTCATGCTGGGCTTGCTGTTGAATGTGGTGGTGACTAGAATGGTGTTGTTGTTGCTGCTGTTGTTGCTGCTGCTGGGGCTGTTCAAGTTTCGCCTGTTTTTCTTGTTGCTGCTGCTTCAGCCGCTCCTGTTCTTCCCGCTCCCTTCTTGCTTGCTCGTTGATCTCCTTGACCGCTCTAAGTTCTTTCTTGAGCTTCATTCGTCGGTTTTGGAACCAAATTTTAATTTGCCTTTCCGTTAGACAAAGTGCGTGGGCGATCTCTATACGCCGCCGCCGCGTAAGGTAATGGTTGAAGTGGAACTCCTTTTCCAATTCTAGCGTTTGGAAGCGAGTGTAGGTTTGTCGACCTCTGCGCCGAGGGCATCCGTTTGGACCTGTTTGGAGAGGGCCAACAAAGACATTTCTCATTAGATATTTTGCTTGATAAATCAACACTGCCGTTTCTGTAATGCAGGAAAATGAATAGCAATAGAAACCAAAGTAAAACAAGGGCCAAAAGAAAACATTATTTAACTATTGTTTTAATTCTCCATTCCAGAAAACCTCATGCAGCAAAGTACCAAGCATGCAGACAGATTCTCAGAGACAACTCGTGACACCACAAATAAATCCGTAAGTAGTTAAATCATAACATCGACAACTTATTTTCTCTTCCAAAACTATGAGCAGGACGGCTCCTAGACGCGACCACAGCATTGCCTATAAAGCTATATATTTCCCATTTTATAGATGACTATAAATTTTTGCTCACTTTGTTATGACAAGGTGCAGGGTGAAAAAAAGAAACATCAGCAGCTAAAGAACGATAGCTTGCTTCTTGACAGTATGGAACTAACTACGTATCAAACCTAATCTATAACTGCGGATTAATTGTTGTACCCTTACAGCAGAGAAAACCTTCCCACGTACTCCTACTCTAGCTCTTTTCGACCGCTGACGTCTGTGTTGTAACAATGGACAGTAAACCACGAGCGAGGTGTGCCAGTTTGACGTCTGCAACAGCCGAGGGCCTATCCCTAAAATATGGAGGTACTTTCGCAGAATGAATGTTTGGGAACGGTCTGTGGTGGCACTTTTGCCGTTTTGCATTCCATCTTTAGAGGGAAACATTAAGTTGAGCTGCCTTTTGAATTAATGTGCGCCAAACAACAGAAACACTACATTTCATATGCAGTGCATTTTTTTTTTCAAGGGTAGAAACGAAAACTCAACGTCCTTTATCTTACTTTGCTCACGAATTCTACACCCACTGCATGCAGTAGCGTGTACCGTCCTTACAAGGGCAATCTCGATGGAAATTATATTCTGTTTGCGTTTATTTGGAACGTGCCCGCGCATAGCGGGCCGCTGCTGCTGCAGCTTCTTCTTATTCCGAAGGCGTGCTGCACGCCACTGGCAACTCCCAAAAACGTCTCAGACGTACGCTTGGGCGGGCTACTGCCAATTTCGAGCGCAGAAACTTTCCCCGACACCATCATCCTTCTAAAAAAAATCTGTTTCATGGCGTCATTGAACATTACATTCGCGTCTTAAAATTTGAAGCCCAAATATGTTAGTGCAAAAGCCAACAGTGTGCAATTAGAACAGTAGCAAGGTGTTAGTACAAATGGTATAAAATGTACACTGTACCTCTAATAAAATCCCCATAGATGTCCGCAAGACCAGGTGTCTGTCTGGCCGTCGGTCCACCTAAAAAGAAGTAACCACATTGTCAACCTCATTTTTCACGTAACACTCACAGAACTAATCAATGCTGAACACCTGTGATCAGTTTTCAAACAGAGTGACTCATATGGTGCAAGCTTGTGGCAGAGTGCGTTCATGGACAAAAATGGATTGCGAAAAGAAAAAGCGGAAGCAAAAGCCAGATGAAGCGATGCAGTTCGCTGGCGGCACTGCCATAGGCACTGTAGGACTGCAGCATCACCGCGTCCCCCACCAGCCCGGCCCGCTCGTCCCGCTTGCCCCTGAGTGACCGGAAGGTGATTTAACGGCCAATAAAACACATCGACGAGGTGCTAGCGGCGAAACGCCTGCTGTCGCCCTGGGAGGCCGCGAGGGCCACGAGGGCCGCGAGGGCCCGGCACAGTGACACGCACGCCGCCAGGCCGGCATCTTTATAGGACGCTCCGTGAGAAGGCGCACCTTTTTCCCATGCGCGCACCGCGGCGTACAGCGGCGCACCGCGATGCCCGGACCACCCCGCGGGCTAATGAACTTGTCAAGGAGCTCGCTAGTTCAAACTTCAATAACAAGTTTTCGAGACGCCTTCATTTGCATGCGGGACGCTCTGGACGTGCATGCATTAGCCTAATGGGTTAGTATCAAGCAGATTAGGCCGTCAGGCAACGACGGCAACACGCAGCGGAAAACGTTTTGCTGGCAGTGCGCTTTGATTTCACTCCGCGCGGAGAGCTTTTCGTTTTTTTTTTTCGGACCAATGCACTGCTGGGCCCAGCCGCGCGTCCCCGCGCACAACTCAGGCAACAAAAACAATTCCATCACGAACAACAACAAAGTGCAAGTTCCACGGTGAAGCAGGACCCCTACTCGTTTGCATGTCCTGTTCCGTACTTCTGGATGGCAAAGTTGCTATCTCCATAACGGCGGGTGCGAGCGAGAGGCCCGGGCTGGGCCCGCAGGAGGGAGAGAGACGCAGGGAAAATGGCCAGCAAAAGTCTTTGCATAAAGGAGACACACTGTGCGGGCTCGCCCGCTAGCGAGTCGCTAGCTCGCCGCGATGGCGTAAGTAATCCCCGAGGATGTTGAGCGTGCTCTTCCTCTCCTCCTTCGTGCTCTCTATCTCGCCGTTCCCCCCCATTTAGCACCCCCCTTTACTCTCCGTTTACGCCGCGTCCCCGCACACAAGCTTCATATTTCAGGCAGCTTTATAAGGATTTCACTCGGTTATCTGGGCAGCTTCAAAAGGGCCAAACCAGGGCGGGCTGCAGCAACTACCGCACGCTGCAATTCAGTGGCCTGCTCTCGCGGACATCGCATTGCCGCGGTGACAGTTCCAACTGACGGGGAGAGGCGCGTTTAAAAAAAATAATTCTTGGCTCGGCCTTGGAAACGCTTGCAGTGCAGAGCCGGTCTAACAAGGGTTCATGCATAGGCAGCAACCCTTCGTCGGCCTGGCCTATCTCTGCATCCCTTCTTCCTCTATCGACCGTCCGCCGCCTCCCCTTCCACTGCACGGAGGGCTCACGGAGGGCGGTGCGGCACTGTGCGGCCGCAGCGAGCAAGATGGCCACAATAACCATCGCAGGCATGGCTCTGTATGGCGGCTCCAGCGACTGGGGGGTGTTTGCCACGGCCCTCTAGACACCTCGTGCAGCCGCGCTCTTAGGCCGGAAAAAAGAAAGGGGGACAATTTTAATTCTGATTCACTCTGCTCTGCACATTTTCACGCGCCCTCTTTGTGCTTTTCGGGGCCGAAACGGAACGGAACGTCCAAAGAGGAAACAGAAGCGGAGGGCGACAACAACGCCGAATAAGAGATTCCTTTCGCGTCTTCCTTTCTCGAAGAGACCACTAAACGCAATAACCAACATCTCGATTATTTATAGAACGCCGTTGCGCCCTCTCGGGGACTTTTATACTTTCCCCCAAGATTAAAACACATAACTTGCGCGCGACGCTCCCTTCCCTCCCCAACCCAGCCCGGGGCACCGCTGCGCCTGGCCGCGCCACGCGCCCCAGTCGTTCGTTATCTTTTCGGGCAATACCGAGGAGGCGATTCATTCCAGTATCGGGTTGGCAGCGCCTTTTTCCCCGAGAGGGATTTTCAACGCCACTTTTCTTACTTTCTCAATGAATTGGCCGCCGCTGGCCGGACTCAGGCCGTACCTTCCGCGGTGGACAACCCGCTCGGCCCCGCCCAGAGCCACCCCACCGCCATGCCCCCGGGCGCCTTCGGGCACCCTCCCGCCGACCGTCCTGCCGGCCCGAGGGGAAGACCGGAATGGATGGCAGACGATATAGAACACTGCGCCAGCCGGGAGTAAACGAAATAAAAACAGACGACGCAGTTCGGTTCGGTAAGCTGCTTTGGCGGGGCTGGGCTAGAGAGGGGGGGGGGGGGGGTGTACGACGAAGACAAGCCGAATGACTGCAAACTTGGAGGAGGAAAGGAGAAAGATAGCGAATCGCGCTGATGATCCATTTCCCGGGCCCAACTTTTTCGCTGCTCGCAAAACAGCGCGCGCGGCGCTTTCGGAAATCGCACACTGCATTGAAGATCGTTTGAAAATGACAGAAACCGTTTGGCGAGGGCGGGAGTCAAACCCACACCGTGCCTTCGGTGAGCCTTTTGGCGAAATCGGCAAGGTGCACGTTCGGCACCGACAACAAAGCCACCCTTTCAAAGGGTCAGCCGGCCGTTGCCGAATGCGCGGCGGTATCGGAAACACAAATCAGAGAGAAAGTTGCGTGATTGTGTGGACAAAATAAAAACTTGGAGACGAACACAGAAAAGAACAAGAAGAACAAAAAAGCAGAGAGCTCGGTGAAGGGAACGTGGGACGATAAGGAGTGACTCCTTCCATTGTCAGGGCAGGCCGTAAACAGACGGACGGAGACAGCAATAAATTAAAGGAGTGAGAGAGGTCCTGCACGCGCGAGATAAAAATGGTCGATGCATCTTATCAGGCCACGTCCGAACGCGATGGGAATGTCACGCCAAATTGGGCGCGCGGTGGTTGTGCCCCAGCGAAGGGGTGCCGGTCCGTCGGCCAGAAGTAGTTTGCAAAAAAAGGGGTCGGAGGCGCCTTTGCTTTGGCAGTGTGGCGATTCTGCACACTTTCGGCTCTTTCGGCTCCATTCAGCGCGCAGACAATGACATCCTGTCCCTTTGTTGGTCCAGCGCCACGCCGTCGCGTCGGGCCGCCGCGGAGCGGAGGTGTTGGAGTTTCCCCAGTTCTGCGGAAAGACCGCGCTGACCCTTTTTTTTGCGCGTCCGACGGCCTTGTCACGTATGCACACGCGTGCGGCGCACGCCGTCACGCTACATTTTTCATAAGTGCGCAGATTGGCAACAAAGGAAGGGCGGCCTTGAGGCTCGCCTTGAGGAGCGGGCCCTTCCGAGACGCCGTTCCAGAAGGCCGCGGCGGGCAAGGCGCGCGAAACGCTGCCTCGCCACACCGCCACTTCCAGCCAACCGCCGCGACGACGTCAGGCCGTCGTAAAAGGCGAAATTAGGTGTCGAGATTCACATGACAAATCATAGAGACGGACGCCTATATCGGCAGTAACCAGGCAGTAACGGGGGCTGTTACTCGTTTTATACGGGCCATTAGAATTGAGTGTGTGGGCGGGCGTCGGTGTGCGAGTGTGTGGCAGTGTGTGTGTGTGTGTGTGAGCGTGCATGAGTGTGTGTGTGCTCGTGTGGGTGCGCGCGCGAGATGAGCTTTACAGCCGCCACTGTTTTTGTGCAAAAAACATGCCCTTTTTTCACAAACTTGTCTCACTTGTTTCGCAGTTGAGCCCCAGTGCTGCGGCGCGTGGCCTGGAGGGGCCCTCGGCGTTGTGAGAGGCTCCTCCGCCGCCGAGACTCTCCAACAACTTCCCGCAGCGCGGTGCCCGTTTAGGAATCAATGATCAATATCCGCTTTGGCATAAACAATGCCCCGGCCGTCCGCACGGCAATTACCAGTGCCCCTCCACGGCGGTAAAGCCTCTCGTCGAGGGGCATCAGCTTATTGCAAACCGAGGCGCGCTGCTCCGCCCTTCGCGATTAAAAACCGATCCGCAGTTTGCGGCCGGGGAGACGGGCGCCGCGGCGGCAGCAGCTGGCGGAGACAATGTGTTTTAATATGTCGAAAATGTTTATTGATCCGATCGTCGTCTGCTGCCCCGCCCCCGTCCCCCCGGCCGGCCAATACCTTAACTTGAAGCGCCTCCAAAGTCGGCTCCAATCTGCATAATAAGGAAACTTCTTACCGCCGTTCCAGAGTATAATTAAAGAGACGCGCCAGATTAGCCCTGATACACAGTTCCGTGATACACTCGTAAAAAGAGCGGCGACCGCCCTAAATTATACCACTCGGCCGCAGTAAAAAGAATTAATTGAGCGTCCGCACAGATTGCGCGCCGCTGTCACGCGTCCATTTTTTTGTCACTTTGAGGTTAGGTGGCCTCGCGGCGCTGTCGTGCCGGCGCACCGGGGAGCGCGTACACCGTCAACTCGCCATTCAAGGCGACTCTCGCGACACGACGCAATTAATTGGCCAAATGTCGGGCAAATGGCGGACAAAGCAGACGACGCGTCTTCAGGCGGACCAACTAACTTCTCCTCCCGCGCGGTAGCCACTCGGCCGCGCCGCCCCGAGGCCGTCGACCTGCCGCCCCACGCCGCGGCGCAAGCATCCATATTTCACCGTGCTACCCTCCTTTTTGCCAGACCTCATCAGCAGCGGGCGATGCAGGCCGGCTTCTGATTGGCCCCAAACGGACGCGCATGCATGATGGTGGCGCTGGAGGGGAGGGGGGGGAGCCGTTAGTTCGGATCGGATGAAAATTAAAATTGGAGAAATGGGGTGTGCGGGCTGGGCCGAGCTGGGCGGGCCGGACGGACGACGGGGCGAAGCAGGAGGAGGAGGAGGAGGAGGAGGAGAGAAGAGGAGAAGAAGAAGAAGAAGAAGAAGAAGAAGAGAGCGGAGGAAGCAGGAAGCCGCGCTGCAAACGTGCGC